AAAGCACTGCAGAGAGAGAGAGAGAGCGAGAGCGAGAGAGAGCGAGAGAGAGCGAGAGAGAGAGAGAGAGAGAGAGAGAGAGAGAGAGAGAGAGAGAGAAGAGAGGGAGAGAACTGAGCAATATACAACCCCATCTTTTTTCCAAAACTATGACACTCAGGTCTTGAAATCAAGGGCAGTGGGGGGTGAGGCTATATAACTCAGTGGTAGAGTCCTTGCCTACCACACACAAGGCTCTGTGGTCGGTCTCCAACACTGAATACGAAAAGGAAGGAAGGGAGGGATGGAAGGAAGGAAAGCCCATCACAGCTGCATGAGCCTGTAATTCCAGCACTGGGGAGGAAGAGACAGGGATTCCTGGGGTTTGTTGGGTTCAAGCTCCAAGGTCAGTAAGACTCTATCTCAAAAATAAGGTGGGTACCAACTTAGTGGTACATGTCTGTAATCCCAGCACTTGGGAGGAAGAGGCAGGCAAAGCTTTGTAAGTTCAAGGCCAGCCCAATCCACATAAAAAGTTCCAGGCCAGCCAAGACTACATAGCGAGACCCTGTCTCAAAATAATAAATAACAACAGCAATAATAGTATGGAAAGTGATTGAGGAAAACATTTGATATCAACCCCTGGCCCCTATACATATATGCACACACATGTATATACACTCATACATGCACGTACACACAGGAACGGGTACACACACACATATACACAGGAGAGAGAAAAGAAGCAGTAGGGCTGAGGCTGTATAGCTCAGTGGTACATGTTGTGGAATATTCCTTTACACTGTGTACGATATGTCACTGTGATTGGTTTAATAAAGAGCTAAACAGCCAATAGCTAGGCCGGATTTTCGGGGCAGAGAGAATGCTGGGAAGAAGAAGGGGAGAGAAGCCAGACAGACACAGAACGAGTGAGACACGCAAAATGGGACAGAAGTAAAAGCCATGTGGTAGAACATAGATTAAAAAAATATGGGCTAATTTAAGTTAGAAGAGCTAGTTAAGAACAAAACTAACAGGAAAGGTGCCAAAGCTACACAGAGAAACCCTGTCTCGAAAAAAAAAAAAAAAAAAAAGAGCAAGCCTAAGTTATCAGCTGAGCTTTCATAATTAATAAAAAAGTCTCTGTGTGGTTATTTGGGAGCTGACAGGCCAGACAGAAAATATCTGCCTACAGGTACATATTACCACGGGAGAGTTCTCTGATTCAGTCTCCAGCACCAATAAAATAAGAGCAAAAACACAAAGCAAATATAAAAGCAGCAGTGGAGTTTGCATTCACTTTTACATGCAATCTACATAACTTTTGCTGTCTCTACAGACATCTTAGCTTTCAAGGTAGAAATGCTCACACCTGGGAAATGCTGCCTAGTTCCATTAAATAGAACTGTGACTAAGAGGAATTGTCAGCACCCTTCTGGGGAAGGAGCACCTTCTTTTTGTATATTATAAGCTAGCCTGGGAAACTTAGTGAGGGAATGCCTCAAAACAGAAAGTAAGAAAGTGGCTGGGGATGCAGCTTAGTGGCAGATCAATTTTCTGTTATGCATGAGGACTTTCACCCAATCATCAGAAGACTGACGCAGATGTCTAAAGAACCCGTTCTATGGTTTAGAGTGGGATGTAAGCGCGGCTCTGCAGATCGATGCAGGATGAAGGTCCTAGGTTACCAGCTGCATTGTTAGATGAGGGGTTGGCTGAGTGGTGGTGAAACATGCCTTTAATCCCAGCACTCAGGAAGCAGAGGCAAGCGGATCTCTGAGTTTAAGGCCAGCCTGGTCTACAAAGTGAGTTCCAGGACAGCCAAGGCTATACAGAGAAACTCTGTCTTAAAAAGCAAAGAAAAAGAAAAAAAAAAAAAAAAAGAGGAGTCCCAGGGTACTAAATCATTCCCTGTGCTGTCTGCCTCAATTCCATTGTTAGGTTTCAAATGTTTATCTCCGGCCTAAATTCCTAAGCATAGATCTGAACGTTTTTTTGTTTTGTTTTTTTTTTTTCTGAGACAGGGTCTCCCTGTGTGGCCCTGGATCACATGGATCCACCTGCCTGTGGCTCCTGAGTGCTGGGATTGAAGGCGTGCACCATCGTGCCTGGCATGAGGAGCTTCTCTGTGATGGGCAACAGTTAATGCAGAGACTCCTAACTAGTCAAAGTGCTTCGACTAAGCAATTGTGAGTGCTCAGCCCTAAATGGCCCATCTCATCAACCCGACCCCCGAGGTGGAAAAGGAGAGAGAAGTGCCAGAGGAGGGAAGCGTGCAGGGAAATGCTGTCTCTGGCCGTGAAATGGCTGATGTACTCGTGAACTCACGGCGGCTGGGGTAGCCCGGACGAGAAAAGCACAGAATCGGGCTGGTTAAACTCAAGCATGGAGCCGGTTGGTGGTGGAGCACGCCTTTAATCCCAGCACGCGGGAGACAGAGGCAGGAGGATCTCTGTGAGTTCGAGGCCAGCCTGGGCTACAGAGCGAGTTCCAGGAAAGACACAAAAGGCACAAAGCTACACAGAGAAACCCTGTCTCAAAAAACAAACAAAACAAAACCCAAAAAAACAAAAACAAAACAAAACAAAAACCTCAAGCGTGGATGAGGAGAGGCTCATGAGCCCCTATCTTTACTGAGGATCCACTGACAGTTGTTGGCTCCTGGGGGAGGGAAAGCCATTTTTCTTTGAGGTTGTGGCCACAGGTAGGTTGTCTATTATCCAGTGAATGACCACACACTCATGTGACTCAGTGGGTTATGAAGAAGTGGGGGGGGGATGGAGAAGGAGGACATGAAGTTGGGAGGGGACAGGCTGGGGAAGTATGCGGCGGAAGGGGAAGCTGGAGGTAGGGAATGGGCAGTGATATGACCAAAATACATTGTATACATGCATGAAATTCTCAAAGAATGAATGAAAAAATACTACGTTAAAATTTTGACAGTATGTTGGAGGCTTGGCCACAGAAGTATGAGGACCTATGTTCTAACCCCCAGAACCTACATAAATCTCATCTGTAATCCTGATGAGAACAAGAGATAAAAATTGGTCAAGCAGTTTAGGGATAGGAGAAGTGTACAGTGTTCTTGGTTGTGTCGTGACCAGAGGGCACTGGGGACAGGCTTCTCCCTGATGAGCCTTGGGCCCCTGGTACTGTGTCACAGGATAACATCAGTTTGTCCCTTCTTAGGATTTAAAAAGCTGTATGGAAAAATGAAGCTATCAGGGTTTTGAGACCCGTTAAGGGAAAACTCTTTGCTTCTAGTCAAAAGAATGAAATATGAGTGGCTTTGGTGTAAATATGGCGTTCTATACACTCTAAAGACTGGAATACTATATCCTATTGTCTGTCCCGAGAGTTAATCCAGCTGCGCTATTCATTACCTGGGTAGGAGAGATCATGCCTCAGGAAAGCAGATTCACCAGAAGACATGAGAAGCAGATGGGAGGGATGATTATCCCTTAATGAGATCATGGGCTCATCCCTCCCGAAGTCACTCTCTGATGTAGTGGATTGAGGAGCGTCCACCACACAGCACTGTCAAGCCTGTCTGTCTGTCTGTCTGTCTATCTATCTATCTATCTATCTATCTATCTATCTATCTATCTATCTACCTATCTATCTATCTATCTATCTATCTATCTATCTATCTATCTACCTATCTATTTATCTATCTATCTATCTATCTACCTATCATCCATCTATCTACCTACCTATCTTTTCCTTTTGAATACTGGCCCGAAACCTAAGCACCTTTCTCCACCACTCTGGGATTTCTCATTTCTTTCTCTGAAGCACTCGCTTCCCTCCCACAACGTAGCTGCTTGTTGACCTGCATTCCTGAACATGCCAGCTTTCTTGGACCTTAACTCAAAAAGGCACCTAGTCTTTCTCTCTTTCTCCTCTCCATTTTCCTCCTCCCGACAGCTGCCAGGATTGACAGCTTGCTTGCCCTGTTGTTTTTCTCTCCAGTTCTAATAAAATGGCCCTCAAGCTTCCTTCTGAATCTATTCCAAAACCATTCTATTGAGGAGACTAAGGATACAAAGGGGATCCCAATTTCCCCAGTGACAATCCCGGTGCTGCCTGGGTGAGATGGGAAACAAGGACAGGAGACACCCCAGAAACTTGAGGGCCAGCTAGCCTGGCATACAGAAGCAGCAAACAAGGGACCCTGACTCAAACAAGGGGGCAGCTCAGGACCAACACCCAAGTTGTCCTCTGACCACCACATGCCCACACTCATTCACAAACATGCAGAATCGTACACAAGACGGAAACCAGCAGTAAGTGAACAGAGACAACTGACCGAGAGCAGAATGCTGAGTGCTTTATACAGGGAGTGGAACACAATAAATGTATTCTATAATATATAAAGTGCATAGTTGGAAAAGTGTGCTTTCTACATATGTTTTGGTTTTTGGAGACAGGGTTTCTCTGTATAGCCCTGGCTGTCCTGGCACTCACTCTGTAGACCAAGCTGGCCTCTAACTCAGAGACCTGCCTGCCTCCGCTTCCTGAGTGCTGAGGCTAAGGCATGCACCGCCGCCACCATCACCACCACCTCCTCCACCACCACCTCCACCACCACCACCACCACCACCACCACCACCTCCACCACCACCACCACCACCACTACCCGGCTATATATGTTTTTAAATGAGGTATAATATCAATTAAAACTCTGGAGGCTGGAGAGATGGCTCAGAGGTTAAGAGCAATGACTGCTTTTCCAGAGGACCCTAGTTCAATTCCATATGGTGGCTCACAACCATCTGTAACTTTAGTTCCAAGGGATCCAAGGTCCTCTTCTGGCATCTACATGCATGCAGTACACGGGCATGCATGCGGGCAAAACACATATACACCTAAAATAATAAAAACTGTATTTTGTTAAATATAGAATTAATATTTATATGAATGAGGTAAAAGAATTAAACTTTTCACATGTGGCTAGGGTGGAGCTCAGCGGCAGAACACCCAAGGCCAACCTTCAGCACCAAAAAATGGTTTCTTCATACCTGGAAATGTACAGGTGCTAGTCTTGAAACCCGAAGACTGTTGAAGGACAAAGAGGAAACACTCCAAGTCAGTGAGTTCAGAAAAGTTGTGTCTGTGGAGAGAAAGGATAGAGACTCAGAATGAACTTTTGTAATAAGAGAAGTATCTGGTAGGATACTTAATTATTTATATATTAGGCACCAGTGTTCAGCATGTAAAAATAGGTAATTTGGCACAGATCATTAGTTTTAAAATATAGCTTTGGCCAGTAGGGATGGTGGTGCATGCCTTTGATCCCAGCATTTGGAGGCAGAGGCAGGACGATCTCCTTGAGTTCAAGGCCAGCCTGGTCTACAGATTGAGTTCCAGGACAGCCAGGGCTACATAGAGAAACCCTGTCTTGAAAAACAAAACAAGGGCTGGAGAGATGGCTCAGAGGTTAAGAGCACTGGCTGTTCTTCCAGAGGTCCTGAGTTCAATTCCCAGCAACCACATGGTGGTTTACAACCATCTGTAATGAAATCTGGTGCCCTCTTCTGTAAGAAGGCAGAACATTGTATACATAATAAATATATATACAACAAAACAACAACAAAAAATAGCTTTGATGTTTTGGATCCCTTTCTAAATAAACTAACATTAGCAGGGCATAGTAGAACACTCCTGAATTCCAGCACTCGGGATGTGGTAACAGGGGATCAGGGGTTCAAGGCTAGCCTTGGCTATTTGGTGAGTCCAAGGACAGTCTGCCTCAAAAAAATAATAAACTGGCTACAAAAGACGTTTAGGAAACATTGGCAACTAAAGCAGCAGGTTGGAAATTGTGACTAAAACGCAGAAGTTGGAGGAACAACTGGCCTACTGCTTGTTTGTTGAGTTATTATGAAGCCCAGATGCGCGTCAAACTTCTGATCCTCCGGCCTCAGCCTCACAGTATTAGAATTACAGGCACGTGCAACCATGCACAGGAAAACCAGGAGTCTGAGAGGGGAAAGATTCTTGCCATAGTGAAAGCTCATCTGTTCCCCAATCCTAAGGATCTAGGGGACCCGGGTGGAGTGGTTACTCTGACAGCTTTCCGGCTCACAAGGGCAATTTATAGGGGCACAATCATGGTCTATGCTGTGGCCAGCAAAAATGAATTCCAAGCTATCAGGGAGAATGGATTTACAAGCCTAGTCTGTGTCCCACAGAGTTTTTACATGCTGATGAAATATCAATCACCAAGTTCCACCCTAGCACATACTCAGACACCTTCAGAACTTCGTTTTGGAAAACGAAAAAGTACATTTCCCAGACTCCTTTGCAGTTAGCACCATTCCCCCCCCCCCCCCCCCCCCCCCCCCCCATGTAAGACATCAATTCTCTTAGAGTTTCAAGGTAGAAATGAGGCAGGAACCATCTTTCCATGACTGGAATGTTAATGCTGGCAGACATGTCTATGGAAGCTTGATGGCTGTCAAGACAGCACATGATTTATACATGTATGTAAATATCACGAATCTCGTTTATTTATTTTTATGTAGAAGTACTCCATTTGCATGTATGCCTGCATTACAGAAGAGGGCATCAGATCCCATTACAGATGGTTGTGAGCCACCATGTGGTTGCTGGGAATTGAACACAGGACCTCTAGAAGAAGCTCGTGCTCTTAACCGCTGAGCCATCTCTCCAGCACATTTATTTATTCATTTTTATGTACAAGTACTCCAATGTATGTACTAATCTCCATCATGTAGACATTATGTTAATAGTTATAGTTCTTGTTTTGTTGTTGTTGTTTGAGAAGGGGTTTCTCTGTGTAGAGTTGGTTGTCCTAGAACTCACTCTGTAGACCAGGCTGGCCTTGAACTCACAGAGATCCTCCTGCCTCTGCCTCCCAAGTGCTGGGATTAAAGGCGTGCGCCACCACAGCTTGGCAACAACCGTAATTCTGAAAAGATAAGGGAGAGTCATTGTTTGGGGAGGTGGAAGGCAGCGGTCTCTCGATCCCCCAGATCCCCCAAACTGCAGTTAGCAATGTCACTTGCAACGCCTGAGGACCTCCCTCGTGGCCCCTCCCTCAGGCAGTCTTGTGTTGGGAATTATTTCTGAAGCCCCACCTTATCCAAGCCTTTTTCATGACTTTGTAAGGATCCAAATGCTTTATTAAATTTCTCTCTGCTTAAAATATTAGAACTGGTGGTGGTGCACGCCTTTAATCCCAGCACTCAGGAGGCACAGACAAGCAGATCTCTGTGAGTTTGAGGCCAGCCTGGTCTACAGAGTGAGTTCTGGGACAGACAGTACAACACAGAGAAACCCAGTCTTGAAAAAAAAAAAATGTTACTCTGCTTTTGCAGAGGACCCAAGTTGAGTTTTTCCCAGAACCCATGCCAAGCAGCTCAGAACCACTGTATATCCCGCTTCAGGGGATCCAATGCCTCTAGCCTTCTCAGGCACAGCGCTCCTATGCACAATGCCCCCCTTCTTTTTTTTTTTTTTTTTTTTTTTGGTTTTTCGAGACAGGGTTTCTCTGTGTAGCTTTGCGCCTTTCCTGGAACTCGCTCTGTAGCCCAGACTGGCCTCGAACTCACAGAGATCCGCCTGGCTCTGCCTCCCAAGTGCTGGGATTAAAGGCATGCGCCACCACCGCCTGGCCAATACCCCCCTTCTTTGTCTCTCTCTCTCTCACACACATACATACATACATATACACACACACAAAAGTTTTTTTTTTTTTTGAGACAGAGTCTTACTATCTAATCGTGGCTATCCTGGCACTCGCTCTGTAGACCAGGCTGGCCTTGAACTCACAGAGATCCACCTGTCTCTGCCTCCCTAGTGCTGGGATCAATTAGGTTTTTAAAAATTAAATTTATTTGTGTTTGTGTCTGTCTGTGTGTATATGCAATGTATGCATAGTACCCACGGAAGCCAGAAGAGGGTGTTTGATCCCTGGAGCAGGCGTTACAGATGGTTGTGAGCCACCATGTGGGTGCTGGGACTGAACTCAGGTTCTCTGGAAGAGAAGCGAGTTCTCTTAACTCCTGAGCCATCTTGCAAACATTTCAGAATTCTATTACCATACATCTTTCTTGTGTCTATCAGAATGCTTACACAAAACTGACTGGTTCTACCATATTTTTATAGGCATCCGAGGGTGAGAATTAAACTATGTAGGAAGGCTCTACTCTACAAATCAACTGTACACCTCATTTCAAATGTTACCTTATTCCTTATGTCTGGCTGTGTAGACCAAGCTGGTCTTGAACTCACAGAGATTATTGCCTGCCTGTCTCCGGAGCACTTGGACTAACAGTGCGCAGCACCACGCGCGGCTGGTGGCGCACGCCTATGATCCTAGCACTCCTCAGGCGGGAGCAGAAAGACCAGAGTCCAGCCTCTGTATCCAATTCTAACTTGAAAAAAAAGGCACTGGTACTTAGCGAACCTCTCTTGGGTGCATACTGTCCCTCCTTTAAACAAACCCCAACTTGGCTCCACAGTGACTCATCCTAGAAGTTTTCCGTGGCTTGTGTCCAGAACCCAGCTTCCTCTGCGTGGAGGCCCCTGGGAGGAACTCTTCATGCCGAGAGCGGTGGCCAGAGTTAGAGCTCCCTCTGCTGCGAGTCTTCTTTGGGGCTGGTCCAGGATCCTCGGAGGCTAAGCTGGAGAGAGTGCCCCACCCCCCCACCCCCACCGACAGCCACTTAACTGGCCCTCATCCTTCCTTTAGCTTGCATGACTTTTGCTTCTCTGCTCTTGTTTCCCGGCCCGAGGTTCACCAGAACTGAAGGTAGGAATCTCTACAGCTTCTTGGTTTTCTGTTTGTTTGTATGTTTCATTTCTTTATTGAGATCAGAAGACAGAGGTGGCATTTGGTTCTCTCCTTCCATCATGTGGGCTCTAGGGATTGAACTCAGTTCATCAGACTAGGTGGCATGGCCTTTCTACCCCACGAGCTAGCTCACTAGCCCCCTATGGAACTGCTTGAGGCAGAATCAACCTTAAACAGATATCTTAAGTGACTCTCTTGCCCCCTTTTTAAATCCTTCAATCTTATGTGGATGGGTGTTCTGGCTCCATGTATGTCTGTGCACCGTGTGTGTCCCTGGTGCCTGAGGATGCCAGAAAAGGGAGTCAAATAATTTTTCATTTTTATCTTATTTTATGTGCATTGGTATTTTACCTGCATGTATGTCTATGTGAGGGTGTCAGATCCCCCGGAACTGGAGTTACAGACAGGTGTGAGTTGTCATGTGGGTGCTGGGAATTGAACATGAGTCCTTTGAAAGAGCAGCCAGTGCTGCTCCAGTCCACCCCACCCCAGTGTTTCTCTGTACAACCCTAGCTGTCTTGAAACTCATTCTATAGATCACGCTTGCCTTGAACTCAAAGATCTGCCTGCCTCTGCTAGCATTAAAGGTGTACACCACCATCGCCTGGCTGGATAATAATCTTACTATGGAGCCCAGGCTAGCTTCCAATTGTGATTCAGCTATAATGATTAAAAAAATATGTATATATATACACATATATATATAAATTTACAGCAAGTGTTTCTTTTAATGTTTAAATTACAGTCACTTCTTTTTTTTTTTTGGTTTTTCGAGACAGGGTTTCTCTGTGTAGCTTTGCGCCTGTCCTGGAACTCACTTGGTAGCCCAGGCTGGCCTCGAACTCACAGAGATCCGCCTGGCTCTGCCTTCCGAGTGCTGGGATTAAAGGTGTGCGCCACCACCGCCCGGCTACAGTCACTTCTTATGTGTTTGTGTTGTCCCATGTGCACACCCCATGGTCACCTGACATTGAGAGGACAATGGGGGGGGTGGACTCTCTCCTGCATCCTGTGAGTCCGGGGATCAAATTCAGGCCACCAGGTGTGGCAAGTGTCTTTACCCTCAGAATCGTCTTACTGGCCTCTAAAAACTATTATATTTTTCAATAAATTTTTCAAGTCTGGAAATTATAAGGCAGGGCTGGAGACATGGCTCACGGAATGGAAGCATTTGCTGCTCTTCAAGAGGACCCAAGCTCGGAGCCCAGCATCTACACCATGAGGTTCACAGCTGCCATAGGAAACCAAGGCACAAGAGAAATGACTAGAAAATTGGGGGCTGGAGAGATGGCTCATCAGTTAAGAGCACTGGCTACACTTCCAGAGGACCCAGGTTCAATTCCCAGCACCCACATGGCAGCTCACAACTATGTAACTCCAGTTTCAGGGGATTCAACTCCCTCACACAGACACACATGCAGGCAAAGTACTAATGCATATAAAATAAAATAAATCAATCCTTAAAAAAAGAAAATCTCCAAAATTATACACAAAGCAAGTGAACCAAATCAGGGCTGGAGCTGAGTGAGCCCAGAGCCAATTTACATGGCTTACACTCTCTGCAAATGTACCCACAATGCCTCTTACGCAAGCAGGGTGCATTCCCAAAAGAAAGCTGAAACAATGCAGGGAAAGACATAGCCTGAGGAGGATCGACCAGGAAAACCCACCTAAAGTTTAATTCCAGTGTGGTGCTCGGCCAGGAACCCCAGTACTCAAGAGGCTGGGACAGAGGAGGACTAAGGATGACGTAGTCGGGTGGTAAAGGGCTGTCTAGCACTCTCACACAAAGCCAGGCTTGACCCAAGCCCCACATGAAACTTGGGAGTACTGGGAAATGAAGACGGAAAGATCTGGAGTTCAAGGTCATCCCTGCCCACACAGCAAGTTTGAGGCCAGCCTGGGCTACATAAGACCATGTCTCAATAAAGTAAAGAGTCAACGTTTTCAAGAGAAAGTTCTTCTTGAACTACATAGCAAAAGGAAGTGAAGGGCTCTAGCAGGCCCAAGCATGGCAAGCCTGGTGTTGGTAGGCCTTGCCCCTCCCCTCTCCCTCTCTCTTGTAAACCATAGATTACATGCCTAAAGCTAGCCACCAAGGTCTGTTCCATTACTTGAACACTTTTTTTTAAAAAATTGCTTTATTTTATGTGCATTCATGTTTTGCCTGCATATATGTCTGTGTGAGGGTGTCAGATCCCCTGGAACTGGACGGAGTTACAGACAGTTGTGAGCTGCCATGTGGGTGCCAGGAATTGAACCTGGGTCCTCTGGAGGCGCAGCCAGTGCTCTGAACTGCTGAGCCATCTCTCCAGCCCCATTATTGAACACTTTATTATGCCAGGCTCATTTCCAAGGCTTATCACCAAGGTCCAACTATCAAAGTATTGAAGTCCAGCAATCAAAATCCCCCTTTGGGCCTCTTGGATCTCTGTGAGTTCGAGGCCAGCCTGGTCTACAGAGTGAGATCCAGGACAGGCACCAAAATTATACAGAGAAACCCCATCTTGGAGGCGGGGGAGGGGGCGGAATCACACCTTCCCTGCTAAATAAAGGATCTCTCTATGAAAACAGGTATTTGGTGTGTGGTCTGTGCCTAATCCGGGGTCAGGAAAAGAGCATCCTGCTGTGTGCAGATCCCTTCAGGAAGTGCTCAGTAAACTGGCGCCCTCACAACTTGGTAACACTTAGCATAATTTACAATAACAAACAGTATCCTGCATCTAGAAGGGCGTATTTTCTGCATACAGGACTATGCCACAGGCATGGATAATGCCTTCCAGATGTTTTCAGCAGATTGATCTTACACGTTGTATTAGCTAGCTACAACGAACTCCGGTGAGTCATCCAAAAGTCCAGTGGAACGTCTACAATATCTCTGAGTTAAATATTTATGGTAGTCCCTAAGAAGATTAGAGAATTCAAAATTTCCATTAAGGTCAATGATCTTTTAAAAGGTGGTTGGAACAGACAATTACATATTTTAGGAACCATTAGGTTTGAAGGTCTTTGGAACAGAAAGAAAAGTCATGCAGACTGAAGATCTGGGTAGCAAGTAAAGCCTGGTACTATAGACAGCATTGACGCAGAGTGGTGGTTCTCAGCCTTCCTGATGCTGCGACCCTTTCATACAGTTCCTTAGGTTGTGTGACCCCCAACCAGAAAATGATTTCCGTTGCTACTTCATAGCTGCAACTTTGCTGCTATTATGAATCATATGCTAAACATCTGACACACAGGATGTCTAATATTTGGCCCCCGTGGGGATCTCGACCCTAGGTTGAGAACCACTTATCTAGACCTTAGTGTGTTGGTCTTAGCAAAAACTCCTAGCTCCTAAATTTGAGTTAACTGAAACAGCAATTGTGTTCTTTGAACAGCAATTGTATTCTTCGGAGGATGAAGGACTTGTAATTCTGGGAAGATTTAGAATTAAGTCCATCTTAAGAGCTGAGCTGTAGAAGGCTGTGTCTCCTTCAAAGTTCATGCTGAAAGTTAATTCTCACAAGGGAAAATTAAGAGGAGCTTTTAGGTGGTTATCAAGTGGGAGTGGGGGAATGCCCTCATGGAGGGGATTAGCATCGGAATAAAGGGATTTGGAGAAGTGGGTCTTGTTTTGTTTTTCGAACACAGGGTTTCTCTCTGTAGCCCTGGCAGTCCCGGAATTTGCTCTGTAGACCAGGCTAGCCTCGAATTCAGACATCCCCCTGCCTCTGCTGGGATTAAAGGAGTGCAACACCACCGCCTGCTGTGTGATGTTCTGTATGGCAAATGTGTTGCTGATTGGTCAATAAATAAAACACTGATTGGCCAGTGGCTAGGCAGGAAGTATAGGCGGGACAAGGAGGAGAATAAAGCTGGAAAGTGGAAGGCTGAGGCGGAGAGACACTGCCAGCTGCCATGATGAGAAACAGCATGTGAAGATGCCGGTAAGCCAAGAACCATGTGGCAAGGTATAGATTTATAGAAATGGATTAATTTAAGCTGTAAGAACAGTTAGCAAGAAGCCTGCCACGGCCATACAGTTTGTAACCAATATAAGTCTCTGTGTTTACTTGGTTGGGTCTGAGCGGCTGTGGGACTGGCAGGTGAGAGAGATTTGCCCTGACTGTGGGGCAGGCAGGAAAACTCAAGCTACAACCGCCCAGCAATATTTCTTCGTGTGTTATCCAATCTCAGATAATTTGTTTTAGAAGCACATATGGACTACAGGGTTTAAGACAGGAAATCTTTAGAATTAAATATAAATGTGCTGGGGGTGCTGGAGAGATGGCTCATCGGTTAAGAGCACTGACTGCTCTTCCAGGGGACCCGGGTTCAATTCCCAGCACCCACATGGCAGCTAACAACTGTCTGTAACTCCAAGATCTGATATTCTCACACATACATGCAGGCAAAACACCAATGCACATAAAGTAAAAGTAAATAAATTTAAAAAATAAGTAAGAACATTTGCTGGGTGGTGGTGGTGCACACCTTTGATCCCAGCACTCGGGAGGCAGAGACAGGCAGTTTTGTGTTCGAGACAAGTCTGGTCTACACAGAGAAACCCTGCTTTGAAAAACAAAACAACTTAAGAAGAGCTGGAGATATGACCCAGCAGTTAAGAGGACTGGCTATGGTTAAGAGCACTGTTTCTCCAGAGGACCTGGGTTTGCTCTCCAGCACCCACATGGAGGCTCATAACCATCTGTAACTCTCCCATCCAAGGGGATCCAACACCCTCATCTGGCACCAGGCATGCACTTGGTACACAGGCACACATACAGGCAAAACTCCTATTTAAAACATAACAAAGAAAGAAAAAAAAAGACTTAAAACTATAGTAGAAAAAGCCTCGGTTAGAAGATGACATGTCATTTGAGTAATGTCCAAAGTAGGAAAGAGTCATTTGTATCTGAAAGAAGGGTACTCCAGGCGGAGGGAACAGCAGGTGCGAAGGCCCTGAGGCGGAACAAGAAAGAATGCAATATGGCTCCCCCCCCCTCTGCACATACCTTCCACAGGCCTAATCGCTCTCTTCTGTCCCCTCCCTCCTCCTAATAAAGCTCTGATACTGGGTGGGGGTGGGGATGGAATATGGAGAAGGAAAGGGTGGGGAGAGGTCACCATGTAGTATACCTATAATGCCAGTTGACTTGGGCGACTGAGGTAGGAAGAAGTAAGTCCAAGGTAGCCCTAGGCCACTCAGAAAACCCTCATCTCAAAATAAAATTAACTTAAAAAATGTGGTAGTGGCACATGCCTTTAATTCCAGCACTCTGGAGGCAAAAGCAGGTGGATTTCTGTAAGTTTGAGGCCAGCCTGGTCCACAGGGCAAGTTCCAGGATAGCCAGGGCTACACAGAGAAACCCTGTCTGGAAAAAAAAAATTAAGGAGTCTGGGGATGTATGTCAACAGTAGAACATTTGCCTAGCATGTGCAAGGCCCTGGGTTCAACCCAGCAAGACAGACAGACAGACAGACAGACACACACACAGACACACACACACTCGGTGAGCCCAGTTCCTATAAGGCCTTGGAGACTTATAGATCTTATGGGCCTTTGGCATTTTTGGTAAGATGTAGGGGAGCGATTTAAGGCTTGAAGACAGTTGGGCATATGGTTTAGTGGTAGAGCTCCTGTGTAACATGTATGAAGCCCTGGGTTCAGTTCATGCACAGAATAGTACCAGGTGTGGAGATCCATGCTGGCAATCCCAGCACTTGGCAGGTGGCTGCAGGAGAATCAGGAGTCCAAGGTCATCATAAACTAGATTTGGGGCCAGCATGGGCTACATGGGACCTAGTCTTCAAAAAAGAAAAAAAAAAGATAAAATAGCAAAAAAAAAAACCCAAAAACAGGGAGAATTAAAAATAAACTTACATCAACCTCTTTGAATATGAAAAAATTAACTATGCCATTAAAAGAGTTAAGACAAACTGAAATTCAATTAGTTCACCCCAAAACTCCTAAGGTGGAGGTAGGAGAATCAAAATTTCAAGGCAAGCCTGAGTCCAGTTTAAAACAAAGAATAAAATGGGTAAATAGATAAGATTTAAGTGATAAAGATGAGGGAAGGTTTTTGGTACTTGGAGACAGCTCCCCGGGAGCAGCAAGAGCAGGGGGGCTTGGGAGGTTGTCACCACCCCCCGCCAAGGGGTGAAACTCCGTCTTTCCTTTGCCAGGAAGAATAAACAGCCTGAACAGGTAGCTGTCTTATAAGAAATTAAGTGAACTATTCATGAAAGTGAAACCACTCCATTTACTAAAGTCCTGCAAATATAGACTTCTAGGTTAGCGGTGTGTGCGGTCGAATGCCCGCTAGGTGTGAATCCTATTCCAAACACGTCTCGGAAAGACGTGGAATACAGCTAACCGCATGGTCAAGGGCGAGTAAGCGCGCCAGAGCGCGAAGGAACCGAACCAGACAGTGTCGCCAGGTGGGAGATGCCAGGGACATTCTCCCGGGAGCCAGCTGGGGCTCCATACTTCGGCCCTCGGTTCTAAGATCGGAACCGTCGCGTCGTGATTGAAAGCGAGAGGGTGGAGGGCGGAGTGAGAACGCCGGGCTGCAGCGCCCCGCGCCCCGCGCCCCGCGCCCCGCGCCCCGCGCCCCGCGCCCCGCGCGCCCCGCGCCCCGCGCCCCTCCCCCGCCACGGTGCCCGACGGCTGCAGACACGCCCGACTCCGTGGCGCCGCCTCCCCACCGCCGCCGCCAGGAGGCTCCGGAGCCTTCCCGCCTTTCCCGGGGCCCGACCCGGTCCGGCTGGGGCGGGCGGGCGGCGGGGCGGGCGCGGGCGGCGACGGCGCAGCCATTGTCCCGCAGCCGCGCCCGGGGCCGCCACCGCCGCCCGCGCCTCCTTTGTGGCCGTCGCCGGCCCTCGGAGCCCCTGCTCTGCGCCCCCGGCTGCAAATGGCGCCCGGCCGCCCCTGCTCCGCCCCTGCTCCGCCCCGTGCACGGGCCCCGGTTGCATCCCCGGGGCGCACCCCGGCGCCCCCGCCGCCCTCCTCCAGGCTCCCGGCCGGGCCCGCAGCCCCGACGCCCCGGCCGCCCTCCGCCCGCCCGCGCCCGCACAGCCACTTACCGCCGAGCTCTGGCCGCTCGTACGCGCTGCAGAGCAATTCCCGGTTCCCGGTGGGGAAGCACCCCCTTCCGAAGCCGAGGCTGTGCGCCCTAAAACAAGTAGCCCCAACGTGGGAGAAACAAAAGGTATTTGCTGACGTGGGCGTTGGACAGAAACGCCCGAGGGCTGAGGACACAATTAAAGGGGCAACGCACAGATTTCAGGCACCAACCAGCAGCTTCGCCCACTCCCCCTGTCCGTGCCCACACCCGGCTGCACCCTCCGCAGGCACTGGGGCGCCCAGATTCCCCAGCAGTTCACTGCGGATCATTCTTTCAGTCGGGAGCTTAAATTTTAAAATTGTACTTTACATTGGGAAAGGCGCCTCCCGAGGGCAAAGGGGCTGGATTTCTAAGATGTGGGGATATTGGTTTAAGGCTAGAGAGGGAGGGACTTAGGCGTGCCCACAATTACTGTATAAGTACATGTGACATTATTGTACTTAAGTTTAGCAACGTCAAATGGAAGAAATTTCCACAAAATTTCCCTCTTTATCGAATCACTTAGTCTAGTCAGGGATAGCCTTTTAGAAACCTTTGTAGGTCCCTATCAGACCATTTGAAAAGGCGAGCCCAGAGAGGCCCAGAAAACGATTCTTGATATAAAACTAGTAAAAAGAGAAGGGTCTATGTTTTCAAATACGAAAATTGATCGTATATCAAGCTTCTCTCCTGACATGTCCTTAATATTGAGACCGCAAACATCAAGTTATACGTTTCCTAAAATAGTCAATTGCTGAATTTTTGCTCTACACAAGAATAACTTCTATAAACTAAATTAGTTTTCTACTTCTTCATACTGGTTGTCAATTACTGCGAATCATGTATTACGGTGAAATGGAGGGAACTCAAAATTTCAAAGCATACATTTCTTCCTCCTCCTCCTCCTCCTCCTCCTCCTCCTCCTCCTCCTCCTCTTCTTCTTCTTCTTCTTCTTCTTCTTCTTCTTCTTCTTCTTTTGGTTTTTCGAGACAGGGTTTCTCCGTGTAGTTTTGGTACATGTCCTGGAGCTCGCTCTCTAGACCAGGCTGGCCTCGAACTCACAGAGATCTGCCTGCCTCTGCCTCCCGAGTGTTGGGATTAAAGGCATGGGCCACCATTGCTCGGCTCAAAACATACATTTCATTTTTTTTTTAGGTTTATCTCTCCCAACTCTTTTTTTTTTTTTTTTTTGGTTTTTCGAGACAGGGTTTCTCTGTGTAGCTTTGCGCCTTTCCTGGAACTCACTTGGTAGTCCAGGCTGGCCTCGAACTCACAGAGATCCGCCTGGCTCTGCCTCCCGAGTGCTGGGATTAAAGGCGTGCGCCACCACCGCCCGGCTCTCTCCCAACTCTTAATCGGGGGTGGGAGGGGGGACGACAAGGGAGGGATCCGGGTCTTGTTTCCTCACTAATTAGCCTTATGTTTTGAAGAACTCAATACATCTTCTTAGATGTGTTTCTTCACCTTTTGAGGTAATGGAAGCTTGTTTGAAAGTGATTAGCATGCTGGTGTTGTGGCACAAGACAGAGGCAAGCAGATCTCTGAGTGAGAAGCCATCCTGGTCTACACAGCAAGTTCCAAGACAGTCAGAGCTACATAGTGAGACCCTGTCTCAAAAAGAGAAAACCATTAGCGATTAGCATTGCTGAATGTGCTCAAACTGTTCTGCTAACACCCCCGTTGAAGATTTATCCCAGAAAGCCCTAGACATTATAATAGCAAAAGGTTACTGCAGTACTGGGGAGGGAGGCAGAGGCAGGCAGATCACTGTGAGTTCAGGCCAGCCTGGTCTATATAGATAATACGAGCTAATTCAAGGCTGTCAAAAAAAGAAAGAAAAGAAGGAGCCCAGAAGAAGACCTGTTTGTGTTTGTTTTGTTTGGTGGAATAGGAGAGTCACAAACATCATAAAACCGGCTTGGACTTGTTGAGAATGAGGTAATCTCTGTGACAGAGGTTGACGTCTTCATCCTTTCTGTATGCCATACATTTTCATTCCTTTTGTATGCATGTCATCTGAAACCCATAGTTTGGAGAATTCCTTACCTTATGGTTAATTGGTGGAAGTAGAAACTACTCTCTGCAATAGAATATGAAAATACCAATGTTGTTGGTTGTTTTTGCTCTTTTGGGAGGCCCGCCACCTAGTTCCGAGACAAACCACACACGGAGGTTTATTCTTAATTATAAACGCCTGGCCTTAGCTTGGCTTGTTTCTTGCCAGCTTTTCTTAACTTTAAAAATTATCCCATCTACCTTTTGCCTCTAGGCTTTTACCTTTTTCTTACTTCTGTAATTTTTTTTTTTTTTTTTGGTTTTTTGGGACAGGGTTTCTCTATGTAGCTTTTGGAGCTTGTCCTGGAACTCACTCTGTAGACCAGGCTGGCCTAGAACTCACAGAGTTCACCTGCCTCTGCCTCCCGAGTGCTGGGATTTAAGGTGTGTGCCGCCACCGCCCGGCTACTTTTGCAATCTTACTTTCACTCTTACTCTTGGGTGGCTGGGTGGCTGGCCCCTTCTTTTCTCGATCCTTACTTTCTCTTGCTCTCTTGCCCTTTCTTCTTTTTCTCTCAGATTTCTCCTTCTGTTTATTCTCTCTGCCTGCCAGCCCCGCCTGTCCTTTCTCCCGCCTTGCTATTGGCTATTCAGCTCTTTATTAGACCATCGGGTGTTTTAGACAGGCACAGGAACACAGCTTCAGAGTTAAACAAATGCAGCATAAAAGAATACAACACGGGCTGGAGAGACGGCTCAGCGGTTAAGAGCACCGGCTGCTCTTCCAGAGGTCCTGAGTTCAATTCCCAGCAACCACACGGCAGCTCACAGATCTCTGTAACTCCAGTTCCAGGGGATCCGAGGCCCTCTCACAGACACACCTACAGGCAGAACACCTATGCACATAAAATAAAAATAAAAATAAAAGAATACAACACATCTTTGCATCATTAAACAAATGTTCCACGGCATAAACAAATGTAACACATCTCAAAATAATATTCTATTACACACCAATGATTTACACTCCCAGAATTGCTTGCAGATACAACAGCCGTTTTTATACTTGGCAATTGGATGCCCCTCTTGAAGAGGGAACTACAGCACCAATACTCAAGAACCATACAGGGTGTCTTTTTAACAGTAGCGGCAGTTGCAGCAGTAGCTCTAGGGCCAGTGCTTATATATGTGTGTGTGTGTGTGTGTGTGTGTGTGTGTGTGTGTGTGTGTGTGTGTGTGTGTGTATGTGTGTGTGTGTGTGTGTGTGTGTGTGTGTGTGTGTGTGTGTGTATACTTTATTTATTTTCATTTCATGCACATTGCATATATGTCTGTGTGAGGGTGTCAGATCACTGGAGTTACAGACAGTTGTGAGCTGCCGTGTGGGTGCTGGAAATTGAATCCGGGTCCTCTGGAAGAGCAGCCAGTGCTCTTAACCACTGAGCCATCTCTCCAGCCCCAGGCCAGTACGTCTAATGGCAGCACCCATTGCCTCACTCCGGTGCTGTGGTGCTAACTGGCTGTCCCTGTTTACTGAGAACAGTACTGGTAATCTCACCAAGCCGATTCTATGATATGACTTTGGCTATTGTTTCTGGATGCCTTCCATCCTTGTGTCCCACCTCTCCCTCTAATTCTGTGAACTTCTAATGTAAATTAATGTCTACTTAAATTAGAAGCTAATAGGTAAATTGTTTGAGATAAATATTGGTAACACGAATTGCTAAACGGTCTTATTAATTAAAAAAAAAAAAACCAGAGCCAGATATTCTCTCTTTTGGCGGAGGATTTCATAGGGGTAAGAACTAGTGGCTGGCTGCTCTGCCTCTCTGATCTTTCACCTTTTACCCCAATATCTGGCTCTGGGTTTTTATTACAAATATTAGTCATCGACATTTGTTGGTAGCACATGCCTGTAATCCTACTACTTGGGCGGCCTCCTAAAAGCAATCTGGGGAAGAAAGGGTTTATTTGGCTTACAAGTCCCAGTCACAGTCCATCTTTGAAGGAAGCCAGGACAGGAAGTCAAGCAAGGCAGTGACCTGGAGGCAGGAGCTGAGGCAGAACCCCAGAGGATCAATACTTACTTCCTACTTACTCAAGGAGACGGAGGAGTTCAAGGCCAGCCTGGGTGACATGAGACCCTGTCTCATGAAACACAATTTGTCCTCAGTGTCATGGAGATAGTAATGAAAACCATGCATGTGGGTCGAGAGAGACTATGAAGTGAGGAGAGAGGGTTTGGGACCGGTGGAGGTCCCTACAGGTTTCACAGCCAGCAGGAAAAGCATCCAGGTGAGGGAAGAATGAAACTCACTCAGTTCAGCCCGATTTAGGTAACCAGTGCTGGGCCAAGACTTCCAGAGTCAGACACCAGTTTGTTTATTTTAGCCATATTTAAGAACAGCAAAATTTTGGGGAAAAGTTCTCTGATAACAATGAGCTCAGTCCCGTGAGTACAACAAAACTTACAATATGTTTACACTGAAGCTTTTTACAAAGTACACATGGCTTTGTCCATAAGATGGGTTCTTGTTGACTTAGAAACAATGCTCAATCTAAAGGTCTAGGGAGAATGACTGAGGTAAACATAATGCCTGGCCCTAAGATGACACAGAAGTCATTTAGGCTCTTTTAGGCTCTTTTTTTTTTTTGGCTTTTCGAGACAGGGTTTCTCTGTGTAACTTTGCGCCTTTCCTGGAACTCACTCTGTAGCCCAGGCTGGCCTCGAACTCACAGAGATCCGCCTGGCTCTGCCTCCCGAGTGCTGGGATTAAAGGTGTACACCACCACTGCCCGGCACGTACAAATGACATATCTCACAAGAATGAGTTCTATGGACTAGAACTAATGCTCAAGGTTTTAGGGGTAAAGGGTCTGGGAAAAGTAAAACATCTGGGAGATATGGGTGGAACCTGGCTCATCAGACAGCCGAGGATCACTAGGTTGTAAACTACATCCATTCCCAGCATTCCAGGAAGAAGAGGTTAAACGTCTCCTGCCTTTGAAGAAAGCCTGCGCATTTAAGGTTCCGGGCCTTTCCTGTGCTTCTCTTCATGCGTAGGGGTGTTTTGCCCTCTGCAGGGATCAAGGTGGGGGATTATTGTTTTTGTTTACTTACTTGTCATCTTGGCACAAACCAGGTTCACGTGGGAAGAGGGACATTCTGTTGGGAGGACACGTCCATCGGATTGCCCTGTAAGCAAGTCTGTGGGGGCATTTTCTTGACTGATGGTCAATGTGGGAGAATTCAGCTCACTGTGGGTGGTGCCACCCCTGTGCAGGTGAGTTAAGAAAGAAGGCAGGGTGGGCAAGCTG